CACCTCCTTCTCTGGGGAATTAGAACTTTTGGAGAGAGTTGGTGCATCAAAAAATCTGACCACACGTTTCTCATCAGATAAATCATGTGCTGAGTTTATCAAGTATATTGCAAAGGATTTAAGAGACAATCTTGCCACAAATATTAGAAAAGGTTTCTTTTTTTCAATACTGTGTGATGGGTGTACTGACAGTGCTTCCCTAGAGGAAGAAATTGTCTATGTTCGATATCTTACTGATGAAAACCAACCAAGAACTGTGTTTCTTTGTATCTCCAGTGTAGAGAAACCAGATGCTGAACATATTTTTGACCATTTGTGTGACAGTATCAAGAACTATGTAGGTGTAGATGATTTGAAAGGCCTTATAGCATTTGTGGCTGATGGGGCAAGTGTAAATTTTGGAGTTAGAAATGGTGTGTACCGCAGATTTTGTGAATTGATGCCCGAGACAGTTGGCATACACTGCCTGGCCCATAGGTTTGAGTTGGCTATCAGAGATGGAGGGAAGAAAAGTTCTGTTGTGCAAGAGTTTTCCGACTTGTGTCAGCTTATCTACAAGCTCTACAAATCATCATCTGTGCAGAAGGAAGCTCTGAAAACTACCTGCAGCACACACAACATTGCTTTCAACAGTCCAGAGAATGTAATGGGAACAAGGTGGATATCCCACAGATCAAGAGCTGTAACTGTCTTGAAAAAGTTATGGAAGCCACTGGTTGTGCACACTACCCAGATAGTGGAAGGTATTGGAAGTAAAAGAGCTGAGATATTGGGAAAAGCCAAAAAGATAAACAATACCTTGACAAACTTGAAGATTGTGATTGCCCTTCCTGTTGTGCAGGAGATACTTGAAATCCTTCAGTCAATCAGCTTGGCCTTGCAGGAATCCTCATACATAATGTCCTGTGCTCAAAGCAGAATTAAGGCAACACTCAGATTGCTGAAAAGGTTCAACATAGAGGAAAAGGTTGAGGAATCAGCCAAAACTGTAGACCTTGAAGAATTTGAATTCAAAGGTGAAACTGTACGACTTGGTAGAGGAGAAAATATTGAGAAATGTAAGGGTGCCATTGTGAATGATTTAACCCAGTTTTTGAAGGACAGCATAAGTACAATTGAAGAGCGGTTTGGAGATGTATTGAGGGACCAGGATTCTGTGTGTGAGAATGTACAAGTGTTTAATGTTAGTAAATGGCCATCCAAAAATAGTGTCAAATTTGAGGAGTATGGAGATGAGAAAATTGAAAAGCTTTCGGAACATTTTAGGAGGACACTAGACAANATGAATATTCATCAGTTCTGTAAGTTTCAAACAAAAAGAAAAAACGGTTTTCCACTTATCGTGTTATCGGTAAAAGTGCACGGCGACGACGGCAACGACGGCGACGGCGACGACAGACGCAGATGACGGCTATATGTACAGACACATCTGTGTCTGTACATAAAAATGCTTACACGACCACGTGACGATCGATGCCGTACGCACCAAGCAATGTTTAGCGACAATGTTAAGTGCGTTCTTGATTTATTTTTGTATGGGGAACATAATGATTAAATCGATGAAATTTTATCATGATTGGAAATTTAATAAAGCCATGTGTGTCGTAGTTTGGTGTTTGTTATGTAACTTAAGTTTACTTTTTTTTATAACTCATTTATTACATAACATCCAGCCACATGTGGGCATGCTGGCTAACTGGTAGAGAAGGAACAATGCATTGTGGGAGATATGTTAATTATGTTAATTACTTTATAATATACAACAATGTGTACAATTTTGTACAATTAATATTTATTTTGCAGTTTCAGTTGCCGTTACATTTGTGATCGTGATGAATTTGAAGATTGACCATTTTTCATTGTCATCAAGTAGTATGTTTTTCAAGGCACTGAAAAGGATTGCTTCTTCTAATAAGCAGTCCAGAATAGAATCATTTTTCACCACAGCTACTAGAATACCTCCAACAGAGCAGCCTTCTCAATACTATGAACCAGTAGGTGGGCCACTTCCAGACTTACCTGATGACCTTGTGGCAATTACCAACATGGAGTCTAGTTGCACATTAGAAACTGAAATCATTTTTGTGTAATGTCAACATTAATGCTATAGATGGATTACAGTGCCTTATTATCCTCCAACTCAATGGGATTATTCATATCATGTTAATACAGCTAGATTAAAAGTTTGAATAGCAGCTGTATTGGAATATTTTTGTTGTTATCCTTTTATTTATTATTATATTTTACTTTTCAAACACTGGCATCTTCAAGATGTGACATTTAACTCCCATCAACCAGAAGCTCTGTACATTTTCTGTATTTTTTTTTCAGATTACTTGTAATGTGTTGAAATGAAATAGTGCAAATTGTTGTTTTTGTGTAATAAGTATATAATGCATATGCTGATGTAACCTGGGAATAAAGTGACATATGAACTCGGTCTTTCTTTGACTGTATAAACTTGGATCTTGGTTTCTATATTGCTAAGGCATGCATAAGTTTTTCTCAAAATATTATTTACTTTAACTTACAAATTTAGTCTGTTTTATAATTTAATTTTGCATTTTAATCTGTCCAGTGTCTTCCTTCATGTATGTTAGCATAAAAACTGATGAGTGGTGGTATTTTTTTTAATTCCAAATTTTGCTAATTGAAATAAGAAAATGCTAATAGAAATTTGTACCCTTCAGCAACTTTTGCTAATCAAAAACAAGGCAGCAAAGCTGTCAAATGTACAGACAAAAACCAGAAAATAAAAACGCAGGAAATAGGATACTGTCAATTTTGATGCACTAATGTATTATGCTTACTGTAACTGCATAGCAAACATCAAATTCTAATTAAGCATAACAGTGGATTAGGATGAAAGTAAAATGTGTAACAAGCATTAGACTGAGTTCCCATACCTAGATCAATCTAACAGGATCAATCCAACTCCAAGGGGTTTCTCACTAAATTGCTTTCAGCTTAAGCGGCTTAGGATTCTGGCATGCTAGTTTCAGTATGCGTGACAAACAGCTAAGCCACTTACATTGATTGCAATTTAGCGAGAATTCCCTTGGAGATAGATCGATCCACAGTTAGTGTGATAGGGTCTGGAAATAGTCCCTAAGGCTTCAGGCTGATAAGAGTTAAACTTTGGAAATGCCAGAACGAGATAAAGTGAAAATTTCATTTAAAAAAAAAAAAAGCTTAAACTCAATAATATATCTGTCATTCTTTGCTAGTGGTTACAAAATGTTGAATTTGACCGAAAATTCCAAACTTTCTCTGGGAAGCTGTAATTTTGCGATGTGATAGCTACACCATCACAGCTTATCATTTCATAAAAAAGGAAACAGCAGCTGCCCTTTTTAGGGCACACAGGGGAGTTGAACAGCTATACCCACCAAATCCAAGACGCGTTACCCTGGGTAATATATTTTGCACAAACTAATGAAAGTCTAATGGAATGTTTTCAGTTTTAGTTTAAATCATAAGGGGGTGTTGTCTCAATGCTTCAAAACTGGGTTTGAAGAATTTAATCCACATTTCATAATTAATAAAAATGGTGAATATGTGGGACACGATAATGTTAGTGATGTGGAAACAAGAACTTTTTATAATCATGTAAATAATAACAATATTTTTGCTATTATCCATACACACTTCATTCATGAGGGGCACACCACTTTCACATGCTTTTAAAATGGAATTGACAAACACAGAGGAATAATGCACATATTTTATTTACTGTAACTCTGTCATATGGGACACACACTGAACAAAGTTGATCTAAAGAATGTTCCAGATTGTAGTTTTTTATCAGAA